GTGAAAACGGATCGGAAAAATTGAGAAAAGTGCTCAGCCTTATTTGTACTGTCCGATATCTCCAAGCCGTCATCACCCCTCATAACAGGAATGGGATTCCTGTTACGTGTGCTTTTCCGCAAATAGCTGTAGAGCAATTTCGGATTTCTAACGGCTTGGTGGAGCAAATTACTCTCAAAATCTCGTTGCCTCCTGAAAATCAGACTTTTCACCTTATTTCTTTGAACTTTGTATTCTGTAAACGCTGCATTATTGTTGTTCTCGCGAAATTTCTTCCATAACCTTCCTTTCCTGTTGATCTCCCTTTTGAGTTCTTGTGTTAGCCACTGAGGGCGGTTGGATGTCCTAGGCTTTGATAAGGGACAGTGGTTCTTCATTAGATGCAGTAAACGATCCTTGAATAAATTCCAGTCCTCGTTAACGTTTCCGGAGAAGAGAACATCCCAGTCTATTTGTGATGCCTCAGCTCTCATTTGGCGAAAGTCCCCTTTCCATATATTTGGCCTCGTATTGTCTTTTGTACACGGTTCAGAATACAGCAAGTACTCCCATAAAAGAACTGCATGATCACTTCGACCGAGCGGGGGTAGGTAGTACACCTCGTCTATACTGTCAGGATCTTTGGTAAAAACGAGGTCCAGACAACTGGCCTGTTGCCCTCCACGAGCTCTAGTTGGAAACAGGACACGTTGCGTGAGTAGAGCTTCTAGGGTTGTCTTTAGTAGATGGTAATCGAAGGTACTCATTGAGCACTTCGCATGCATATCGCTCCATTGAATGAAGGGTGCATTAAAATCCCCCATGAGAACAACGTCTGGTCGGCTGGCGATCTCTTTTATGCTTTCAAGTAGACAAGTATCTGGGTCGGGATCCGCCTGCGGGGGCCGGTAGATAGTTACGATTTCGAGGGACTGAGATCCCCGCGCCTTTAAAGTCAGCCAAATTGCCTCTGTGTCGTTAGAAATCTTGTCGGTCCTCTCACACACTGTTAAGTTGCTCTTGACATACATGGCAACTCCTCCACCCCGGCGGCCTCTCCTGTCTCTCCTAAGCAAATGGTACCCTGTTAATGCTACCTCGCAATCGCCAACGTCCTCTGACAGCCACGTTTCTGTTATTGCTATAACATCGGGAAGAGTATCGTCTACCTGTATTCTCAGTTCGTCAAGCTTGGAAAACAGACTCTGAGCATTGGTGTAAAAGAATTTTAGTTTGCAACATTCGACAGTGCTTCGTTCGGTTTGTCTCGGGTTTGCCAATATTATGTTGCTGCCGCCATCATGATGACTGGCTGGTTCCAAAACAACATCGCGTTCCTCTGTATTACTCGTCCCCTGAAAATGGCCAAGTTGCTGTCTCCCGCTGCAAGTCTCCTCTTCAACTCCGTTACCAATTCGCGGCGTTTCAGACGTTCCGCTGGAGAATAGTCCGGCTGAAAAAAACTTCCTTGTGCGAGTTTCGGAGGCTGCTTTTCCTGGACAGAAGTAAGCTAGCTTCCTCTTTACTGTTCAAAACAATTTTCAGAGGTCGTGGCCGCACAGTTTCTGATTGTTCGCTCACCTTCTTTCCGATCCTGAAGGCTGCGCGAATGGTTATCTTTTCATTCGAATTAAGCCTTTTGTTCAGTAGGTGTTGAAGCATATTAAGGTCAGCGGAGATTCTCCTTCGGGGTAGGAGCATTCGACTCCGATAGGCCCTGGACGGCTACGCAGTGCTGACGATCAAGGGAAGTAAGAATATCTGATAAAAACGCTACTGTGCAACTTCAGTGGGTGTCGCATTTAATCGAGGAAAACAACAGTAGCGGTCGATGCACCTACTGCCACATCTAACAACATTGCATCCCGCAGTCCCAAGCGTGTACACATCTATCGCCTCTAGTATATACGTAGTGCTAAGGACCATTCAATCACGGTTCCAGATTGGCCAGGTCAAGCGCATAGTTAGCCCTTAAGACAGCCAGTCACAGACGCACCCGACCTTCGCAATCACCCTATCGACTCGCCAAGCAGACGATGACTGACTCTCGCATGACACTCATTCCATCACGCCAATGTTCCCCAATCACCATACGCGCTAAATTACATACCCAAACTATCCTGGCCCAAATATGTCGCTTTTGAATATGTCAGATTTATCATGCCGTTCGCGACAGCAAGTGGAGTTCCTCGGCGTCCCTCGCAGCCGTCGAGATACAAACAGCACCACAAACCGCGTCGTAGCTAGACGGCATGCGAGGCGATCGCAGTGGATAAGTGACATTTTACCCAATTTTTCCGTTACCTACCCTGCCAGCACCAAATACGGCTGACCGCGCATTGCCGCCGTGGCTAGAGGAGGCAATGACCAGGTCAGACGGGTAACTCTGGTGTGGCTAATGCGTGACATTCAATACGGCAGCCAGGCTTGGGCACACCATCCAAAAAGTGCTGGGCGGCGCTCCTCATTCTTCTTTCAATCCTCCACACTCTTATGGCTTCGGTTTTGTAACCGCGAGTACACTGATTCTTAACTATCGGCCATCGCAGAACTATTACTTGTGTTATTGAGTCCTCCCATCTCGGATAAAACGAATCAGCGATGAGCACCCCACGTAAGTGCACAATCGGACAACCTAGTTAGCGTTCACTCAATCACACAACATAAGAAAGTGGACAGACATTGGTTATAAACGACGATTTATTGAGTATTTGCAAATGGGAGAAATTAGTACGAAAATACAGGCAAGTATGCAGATCTTCAATGGACATTAAAGGGCTTCTGGACCATTTTCACTAGTTATTGGCGGTTCCTGCAAAAAGAACTGTGATAAAACACAGATACTGCTGTTGTCATTGAAGTAATCAATAATGTGAATAGCAGGGGAAATGCGATTCCTAGGTGGCGTGTCAAAAGGAGGCTTCCATCGGGGAAGGCCAGGTGCGGGTCTGGCGTTCCGATTAGTGAATTCGTCTGTCCGTCCTCACACACTGGTAGGTCATGCACACAAGTCTATGCGCATGACCCTCATTGACCGACCGTGGGGCTACACCGGACCAGCATTTAAATGTGATTAGTTTCGCCCCCTCCCCTTGTTGACTGCGGAGATAACTGGCGACCCCAATGGCCTCACGCCGTCACTGTCTCCTACGAGCAAAATTCATAAAACCGAATTGGGGAGCCACCTAACTAGCGTAATTGTTGATTGAGCTGTCAGTGAACATTCAGGCGTCTTTCCAATCGTCCTAACATGATATCATCGCCTCCTCCTCCTCCTCCTCCTCCTGCTCCTCCTCCTCCTCCTCCTTCTCCTCCTCCTCCTCCTCCTGCCCCTCCTCCTCCCCCTCAAATCCCACCCCTCATCATCATCATCATCATCATCATCATCATCATCATCATCATCATCATCATCATCATCATCATCTCAAGGCTGATGCAGAGCAGCTCAGATGTCCTCCGCTAGATAAATTTGTTTTCCCCCATCTGGTTTTACGAACCATCTTAACAGGAGAAGTGACAGCACGAAGTAATTAGGGCCGCTAATTATCCAAGCGGTCAACTAGGACGGGCGCGTTACTGGTCACAGTGAAATACGGGTCCGGCTCAAACCCAAAAGCGGTCAACGAGGGCCGGGTAAAGTGAGATATGTCTCACTTTTGAAACTATAGAGATAGGTAGGCGGATTTACTACTTCTGCGAACGTCAGACCTCAAGTAGACCTCATCCAGTGAATTAACAATGTACGTTGAAATGATCATAATAATAGTGTGTGTTAGCAAAAGTCTTTTACATTCAACTTTCGCATGCTTCGAAGGGGAAAGTTATGGACATGCGAAGTCATCAGTGGGGACTCCTTGAAACTGAAAACATTTAGGTAGTAATTCAAAGCAAATTGTCGTACCGCATGAATGTTGCGCCCGCGTTCCGACCGTCCTCCATACCGGTTGTTTGACTCATGAAATCAATTAATAACCGTTTTTTGAAATACTTCCCTGTTGCAGTTGTTAAAATGGGGGGTTTGGCTAATGACATCTGTATGTGTCAATAAGTTAAAAGTAGGCTTACTGTTGAGGATGCTAAACAACGGACAGGCTAGGAACGACCGCTTCTCCTTGGACTTGCCCCTCCAGCAGAAGGTGTAACAGAGCGGTGGATCAGTTAGAGCAGTCGGGAGATTTTTGATAAGGTCTTTCTCACTTCACCCTCACACCACGGCCAGCTGTTTGATCCGGAAACATGTAAACAAATAAACACCTACTGCATTGTCTGCCAACCACGTCTCAGTGATTAACCGACGAGCGAAGTCTTCACAGACTTCGGCTGTGCACAATGGCAAATGCAGACGGGAGGGCCCGACGTCGGCGGCAGTGGTGCCCCTCTCTAATGCACTGACAGCAGGCCACGCTCAAGATCTAAATGGACATAGTTAGAATAGATTAGAATAGGTTTATTATAACGCCTCTTGGGCACTGTCAGTCTACTTTGAATTCAGGTGCTTTGTCCAGGTGGCGTTTGTAATAGCGTCCTTGGGTCTTTGAGTACTTCTGGGTGGTAGGGCTGCAGCATTCGAAACAAATTCTTTGTTAGGATAGTGGAATTTGGGACTCCAAGCAGAATTCTCACAAATCCGCCAAAAAGTATTTTCCTGCGACCGCGTTCTCGCTTATGTCTACGGGTTCTAAACTTGCTAGTAACACACTAAGATTACTACCAGTATAAACTTCTGCGACTAGTTTGGACGTTTCTAATTCCGGTAGTTGGTCCATCACCAACGACGTAGAGAGAACGGAGGGATCACCCGTCCGCGCATAATAGGCAATGTATTTGAAAACCCGATTGGAAACGGCACATGCAATATCAAACCTTAAATAAACGCGGTATTCAAATGTTTCCAGTAATAAATACACTTAACAGAATATTTTACTTGGAAAATGCAGGACAGAAATCGAGAACATTCAGCTGTAGATGATAACGGTAAAATGAAATGACAATCATCCGCATTAGCGGTAGGTGTATGCAAGACGTTCGTTCGGAACAACAGAGCTGCTCTGTCCAGATAAGCGGTATTTTCCGAGCAAAAATAATCTAGTCTTTGCTTAAATGCCTCCGCCATTATCACGCCCTCGAGAAGCTGGTTCCAGGCATTGACGACTCGCTGTGAAAAAGAGTGTCTCAAACGTCCTCTAAGTTTTAGAGAGTTCCCACGCAGGCTTGTTGTTGTGGCCAGGGTTAAAAAACCGTCGAGGTTTAGGGCACGGTCCCGGTTTTTAAAAATCCGATACGCCTGTATAAGACCTCCTCCAATCTGCCTGTACTCAAGAGGAAAGAGCTTAGGTTCAGCAAGTCTGCAGTTGTAACGTAAAGTCTTGAGGCCTTTCACAATTTTGTCGCTAATTTCTGAACTCTTTCTAGCAATTTATAGTCTTTTATAGTCACGGGCGACGGGGCTGGATTCTATGTTCCAGATGCGAACGACTGAACTCTCTGTACACTTTTCCAAATAACTCTTCGTCTATACCTATGAAAGTTCGTTTGATTGCAAAGGTAGCACTGGTTGCCCTTTTGGCCGCCCTGACCCATTGAAAGGAAGGCGTAGGAGTCTAAAAATGTTGATCCCAAGATCTTTTTGTTTGGTTACATTTAAAAGACACCTTCCGCCAAGCGCGTAGTGGTGACCCCCTTTATTGACTCTTCCATTCGCGTTGAGTCGCATTGCGACGCACTTCTCAAGGTAAAACTTCAGCAACAATTTGTCGGACCATTCGCATAGGCGATTCAGTCCTCCTTGCAGGGCACGTTTATCATTTTCCCCGTTGATGGCTCGCCATAACCTGATGTCATCGGCAAACATGGATCCATCGCAGTCCAGTCCATTCCCACAGTCGTTGACATAAATTAAAAATAGTACTGGTCCGAGAACAGAGCCCTGGGGAAATCCACTCACAACTGACACTGGCGTTGACTTCACACTACCAATGCATATAATCCAGTTAGAAAGTCAGAAAGTCCTTTATCCTGTTTAATAGGTTTCCCCTTATCCCTGAATCTCGGACCTTGTAAAGTAACTGGTGGTATGGAACAATATCAAAGGCTCTCTTGAAATAGATGTAAACGATATCGACCCTTGTTCCTTCATCTAACGTGCAGGGCCACTGCGCCGTTAAATAGAGCATATTAGTTAAGCAGGGGTGACTTCGTCAAAAGCCATATTGGGAACAAGCAAAGAAACTTTTTCCTTCAAGTAACTTTATAATGGTTTTTTGACTATTTTCTCCATAACTTTGCAACAAATGTACGTTAGGATGACCGGCCGATGATTTTTTGCACATGTTCTAAATCCGCCCTTGTGAATGGGGTATATGTGTGCCACATTCCAATCAGAGGGGAGAATGCGTCGGTCAAAGGACGACCTGATGATGTATAAAAACGGTCTGGCGAGTTCGGAAGCCAACTCATTCAGAACGTTTGCCGGAATTTGGTATGGACTCGGAGACTTACACTGTTTAAGCGCTAGAAGTTCCTTCCTCATATATTCTTCCGTGAAGTCGATGTTTTTTACTATTTCGTTGGTTGTTCCAGTAGGCAATCCAGTCTCGTCAAAGTCCGTATCATCGGTGAAAACGGATACGAAAAACCGACCAAGGTGTTCTGCCATAGCGTCATTTTCGATGATATACTCATTGTTTTCTCCATTCAACATTAAGACCGTCTCCTCGTTCTTTAACCTGCAGTAGACGAAACTGAAGAGCACTTCTGGCTATTGACGGCCCCTTCCATAACTCGCTTTTTATACTCCTTTCGGGACCTGCGGATAGCCGACCTTACCTCGTTTCGCTTTCGGCGAAACTGCTCGTAATGAGATGGTTTTTTGTTGTCGTATATCTTCTCCATAGTTTATTCTTTCGGTTTACTCCTTTTATTATATTCCGCGTTATCCAGGCAAAACGATAAGTCTTTTTGACTCTCTTTCTCGGACAGTTTCTATGCATGATGTCGGTTAAAAGTCCTTTGAGTGTTCCAATCAACATATGGATGTCCGGAAAGAATAGAATTCCGGTTCACTATCGATAATTCCCTTCTCATGGCGGCAATATCTCCTCGCCAGAAATTAATCCGAAGATCAGTCGTATTCATTTGTTGGCTGCATAGGTGGTATTGCCAAAGCAGCGTGACATGGTCACTCTTCCCGAGCGGTGTTATGGACCTAAGTTCTCCAGGGCTAATTGGATCTTTTGTAAGAACATGGTCCAAACAATTTGCTCTTTGGTCTTCTCTGATCCTGGTTGAGAATGTGATATTTTGTACCAGAAAGAGATCAACCGTTAGTTTCAGGAGCTCGTAATCAAAGGAATATTGCGAACCATTTACTAATAAATTGTTCCAGTCGACCATAGGTGCGTTGAAGTCTCCGGTTCTCAGTACCTCTTGTTCTCCTGACACCTCTTTAATTAACCCAAATATCGCCCCGTTAACCACAGAAGTTTGATAAGGCGGCCTGGATAAGGTCAGGAAATTCAGGTCAGGTGGGCCAGGCATCATTGGTTTTAACCAGAGTGCTTCACAGTCACGAAAGCAATCGGTTTTGTGTTCCGACGTGATAATTCCTCCCTTGATATATATCGCTAGTCCCCTCCTTTTTATGCAGTCTGTCCCGGCGAAAAAGATGGTATTCATCGAGTGTAATTTCGGCGTCCAAGACTTCAGTCTGGAACGAAGTTTCTGCGATAGAAATGACATCCGGCTCATCTAGCTTCTGGAACAAACTCTGAGCATTTGCATAAAGAAAGCGGAGCTTAGCCCGATCAGATTCCCGAACCATTTTTGGGTCGAAGTTGCTGGATATTTCGTGTGAGTTTTCGGGCCAATCGTCCCGTTCTGAGTGTACTGCTGTTTGATTGAACTAGATGTCAGTGCGTTGGTCGTCATTTCTCTGGTCGGTTTGGCAGATAGGAGCGTTCTGTCCTTATTATCTGGTTGTTCATTATGTTAAGTGTCATTGGTTGTTTCCAGAGGAATAAGCTCCGAACGTTAGCAACTGTCTCATTCAATATTCTTAGGTTTTTCTCGCCGGACTCGTATCTTCTGAGGAATTCGGACCTGAGTTCCCCCATTTCCTTTGTTCGGCCGATTGAAAATCCCGCTGAAAAAATTGTTCGGTGGGCATCTCGCAGTGCTGGCTTCCTGTTCAGCAGTAGTAGAGTTTAACTGCATTTTAAACACTCACTGTGAGATTGGAACTGCTATTAAGTTAACAAACTTATTTGCATAGCAGTAAATATATTATTGATGGCATAAGTAAGACCATAAAGGCGCGATAGACATGAAATCGACATGGGACGACATGCTACATTTTCGTGAGCGTCCGGACGAGCAGCAGATAAATGGCCTCCAAGTGACCCGATTAAACAAAAACTTCCTGGTCGGGTTATCGAGGCACATTATCATCCGCAAGAAGTGAGGACT